CTGCCTGAGGAGCTCGAGGCATCTCGCCTTCTACAGCATCTCCATTTGGCTTTTGGTGGACAGCAATACCCTTCGTGTTGTGTTTCTTGAGCCTGCTCTCCCCAGCTAGATGCTGGATTAACGTGCTGAAGCTTGGCACAAGTGTTTTAATTATGCAGCGTAGTGCCACGCTGAATGAGATGACACAGACCGCTAGGACAGCAAAATGAGGGAGGAAGCACAAAAAGCAAGAGGGAGAGAGAATCTCCCCACACTGGCTTTTGTTCAGTCCCAGAGGAGATCTAACTTAGGCTGTAATTGCTGTTCTGGATAGCTTCTGCCCTCAAAACAATTTTCTGCTGGTCTGTTGTTGCTTAGGCTGAATCAGTTTGATTTATAGAATGTCATTTTTTTTTTCTCCCCAGCTGTAGACAAGAGAAAAATATTTGTTGAAAGGCTATTGCAGCAAGATTTAGGTTTTTGCCCATCTAGCATCAGAGATACTTTCTCGCTTTTTCTATATGATTTTTTATCTTTTCCTTCCTTCCTCTCTCTTGCAGAAGACAATGGGGATATACGAACACCATGTTTTGATTAGTCTTTCTGTATACTCTGGGTCTGTGGTTCGCACATGGTGGACCACAGGGTAGGAGATGCCCCAAGGGTGTCGCAGATGTGACAATACCCAAGGAGCATCTCAGCATCTCTTTGGTAAAACATACCAGACAACTACGAAGTTTGTGTGATTTTGTCAGGGTTTTTTTTGTTGTTGTTTGTGTTTGTTCCCCCCCTCCTCAAAGATAACAAACAATAGAGTTGTGTTTTGCTTTGTTTGATTTTGGAGTGCTTCTATATAGAGAGCTACACATACGGATGTTATATTACATCTATCAGAATCTCCTTCAGGTTTATTTTCTTGCTCACCTGGCTGCTTGTTGCAGAGTAGATGGTGGGACAGAATGTAGAATTCAGCATCTCCTGAGCGTAGCAGCAGCAATTAACTTAAATGCTAACTCGTAGTCCTTAAAAAAAATGGAGGGACGGTTTTTGAGTGCATACCAAAGTGCTAAACAGGATAGACGACAGATACTTCTGATCCCGTTTTTATACAAACCTGAGGCAAACATCCTCAGAAATAAGTGTGACTTTTCCCTTGAGGACATGAGCTGACATTGATAAAGGATGCTGGGGTCTGGCTAAATGTGAGAGAGAAATTATTGACAGCACATGCTTATTCTGTATCCTTTTGAGGAGAGCATGTCTCCCCTCTCTGGTTTATTTGATGCTGTTCTCGTGGCTGGAATACAGAAGTGTCCTCGGGATATCATTAAGGTCAGGGCTACATTAGAAGTTTTTAGTGTGGAAACACAAGAGTGGAAGTGAGAGGAGGCTTTCTTATTTGATGTCTTGGCAAATATCTCAGTGATATTTGTCCCATGGGGAAATGGGCTGCTGGGATTTCTGATTAGGTTGCTCCCATCTCGGTAACAATGCCTGGGGTTTACAATCTCGCTTGCTCCCAGATTAATTTTGAAAACGTTGAAATTCCAGTCTTAACAGTAGAAAAAATGGGAAGTGGAAATTTTTAGTTTATCCGCCAAATCATATTTCCAACCTTTTTTTTTTTTTTTGTGCCAGAATTGGAATTTCAGATTTTTTTTTCAAAATCTCAGTACTTTGCAGTGGCATTATTCACTCACTGAGCCAGTTTAAACTACTCTAATAGTCCTGCCATTTAAACCTAGTACTTTCTATTAAGAAGTTTCCAAACTAACTTTTCCTAGTCAGAGTTAATCCTCCAAATCTTCAGGGTCTCAAACTCTTTCATTTCTCTGGTTTCCCCATCTGCATGCTTTGTTTATTGGCACTGCTCTGCTTTTTTGGTCGTCTTTATCCACTGCCATTTGGTTTTGCAATCTCTGATTTTACCGTCGGCTAGTTTAGTTCCTTTTGTTCTAGCATGGATGACATTAAATCCTGTCTATTAATCTGAACTACAGATTCCTCCTTCGTTAAAAAAAAAAGAAAGAAAAAACTAAAAGGGTTTGAGTGAACCAATTTAAATGTCTCCCTCTTGTTGCAGAGTGTAGTGAGTGAATTGTTGCCAGGTAGGAAAGGCTGGTGTTGATTAAAACCCAGCTGTGTTAACTGGCAGGGAGACAGCGTTTTTGGAACAGTGGCTGGCTTTTGGCTTCTGTGGGCTGTTGGGCTCCTGGTTCCTGTGGAGTCCAAGAGATTGATGAGGAGCTGTATTTCACTGTGAATTCCGCATCGTGTGTGCAAAAGTGGGAAACCAGAAGCAATCTGATTTTGCTGACAAACTCTGAAGCCTGGCAAGTTCAGAGGTGCTTCATGATAGAGAGAACTTGGCAGGAAAGAACAGGAGTATAGCTCCTAGGTATATTCCATTATGGAAGGTCTTTATTTCTGACTGTTTTTCCTTCTGTTTTTTCATTTTGTTTTGCTTACATATATCAGGGACTTTGAAACTCCACATTGCCCGTTTAAATTATTCAACAGATTCCTTGCTTCGGGTCAGATTTTTTGTGCTCTGTATTTTACAGTTCACTCCTGCTTGTTTTTCCTTAAATACAGCAGTTGCACTTTTTCCTTCCTAACAGTTCAGCGGCTGGCTTTTCGCTAATGCGTATTTGCTGAACAATAATTTCAAGTGCTGGTACAATGTTATGAAAAAGATCTATACTCTGCAGCAGCAGATGGCTGTTTCATCCCAAGTACCTCGATATAAATGGCAAATGTGAAGCAGCACTAGTCATATACAGCACTGAATTCCCTTCCTCATTCTTCCCTTCTCGTCGTAATATCCAGGGATCCCTAGGCAGAGAGCCCAGCTCCTTGCAGTTAAATTAGCTGAGGACGACCCTATAAGGAGTCAATATATCATCTGATCTTTCTCAGACTGAATTGCCCGCTCATTTTATTCCAACAAAAATACTTGAGGGCATGTATAATTCAGTATATTACAATAACTTCTGTCTAACCAAATGTACGCCCAAAACCATGTTCTTAAGCTGTGTTCACTTAAAGTGCTGTAAAAGAAGCAGAACCAAACAAAACAGGCTGACGGAAAGAGAGAAGGAGTTTTGTTAATGTTGCAGACACAAAGACTTATGTCAGTGTCAATTTAGCCAAGAAAGACAAATGAGCATTTTGGGTTTTTTTAATATTATTATTTGTTTGTTTAATTTTTCCTTAATTATCTTTACTAAGCAGTTAAATGAGAGCAGAGCAACACATTAAAGTTAATTCTCAATCCTTCACATTTTGCTAAACTTTAGTTTTCTCTTTTCAAAGAGTTTTACAAAAAAGCCTCCCCCACCCAGAAAAATCACAGCTAATTTCTCTTCATTTCCTGGCAGTGATTTACTACCACAGTGCTCAAGTGCACTCTCAAGTTACTTAAACTTCATTGCTTTTACAAAATATTCGGCAGTATTTACAAGTTATGAATAATACCATACATAATTAAAGCTTCATTATGCTTGACAAGTGAATGAATGAAGTGGATTTTGTGATGCATTACCCACTCTTTGGTTGGGGGTTTTCTTGGGGTGTTTTTTTAATTATTATTATGATTTCTCACAGCTTTTTTAATCTTTTGTTTCTGCTGCTTCTTCAGTTATTCAACAACTCGGCGTATTCTAGATCTCACAGCAGGACTCCCAGGCTTCATTGCAAATTAATGCGATTCTGTTGCATTATGTGATTAAATGTTATGGCACTTCTATTCTCCCAACAACCTTTGCTTCGGTAGAAGGATGGGGATTCATTTTGTGCAGTTTTCTAAATTTACCGCTAGAGCTCTCTAAAAGTGAGGTGGAAGCAATCGGAGCTTTTGGCAAGGTGGACTGGAGCTACAAGAGGATCCAAGCAGATAAATTAGTTACTAGGCAGTTAGCCCTCTGAGAAGCAGATTTTTAGGAAATATTTTCAACACTTTAGAAAGCATCCAGGGCTGGGCTCGCTAATACAAGGGATGCACGGACATACTGTTGACTGGACAGTCTGCAGAGTCTCTGTCCTTCAAGATACCCAAAACTAAGTGGGCATGGCACTGAGGAACCTGCTTTAATTGACTGCTCTGAGAAGAAGGGTTGGACTAAATGATTTCCAGAGGTTCCTGGCAACCTCAGCGTTTCTGTGATTTGTACAGCTTAGCAAAGTGCATCCTTTGTGAGTGTCTTTTATTCTGCTTTGGTGATGTTGCCTTACTGGCAGTGCGTTTACCAGTACCTCTATTATTATGCCTATTATTACTAGACTAATTCTTTTTATATGAAGTCAACATATGCTCATACTTGCTTTAGTATGTGGTAAGTGTTCAGAAATGAAGAAAACAAACTCACTGGCAGTTTGTTGTGTTTAACTGAGAAAATTTCAGTGCTGAGTCTGTTTTTATGGTGGGTATTTTTGTTTTTTGTTTTGGTTTGGCTTTACACTTGAAAACATAAAAAGGAATCTGTACATCAAACAAGTCTGCCGTTATTGTCTCACCAATAAGGAGATTTAAAATTCAGTGAGGTTTTGATCATATCTCTGTCAGTTTACAAATAATATTTTATCAGATGGATGCTATGCTGAAAGATGGCCTTTTTTTGCGTAAGATTCCACATTCTGGGATGAGTGGCCTGACTCAACAATAAGCTTTTTAGAAAGAGAAGGGTTTGCTGCTGCTGTTTTTACTGTGTGGTGTTTTTTTTTTTCTCTCTTAGACCTCCACGATTCTGAAAAGCAGCCATAAAATCTGATCATTCTATTTGTTTCTTACAGAAAGCACAAGTCAACTGACTTAGATTCAGCAAACCATAGCTTTAAGAGGACTTTTTTAATTACTATAGGAGCATTGTAACTTTTGCTTTTCATTCTACTCAGAGTTTTCTGGTTTGGGTTGGATTTTTTTCCTTTTTTTTCTTTTCTTTGCTAAACTTGTCTGTGGGACATGTCTTTTATGCTTGGATGTTACCCATCCATCATTAATGTTAGACCTTCTTCGTTTTCAGAGTGACATGTTGGATGTGAACCAGATCATTAAAGACCTGGCCTCCATGGTGCATGAGCAAGGAGACACAATAGGTAGGTATCTCATTTAAGTATGGGCTTTATTACTCTTCTACACCATTCCGGTGTGATGTTGTGTGGCCCCTCATGAGCAGCTGTTTGTTGCTACTGTGATTATTTTCCCTGCGCTTTGAGCATTTTGTCCGTCCAGTGATGTTTTGATCTGACAGGCTGCCCTGTGCAATAGGGTTCTCATATTAAGGATTATTAGCTAGTGTATTTAGCATAAAATAGAATTCACAGGGAGATGAATCTGTTCCCTTTTGACTCTGAAAAGGAAGCTGGAGAGTATATAACATTAACTGGAAAGGGATCCAATTCTTCTTTTCTACCTGGAACTGTAATTAAAAAACAATAGTAGAAGCAATTATTGTTGTTGTTATTGATGGTGGAGAAAATTAAGTAGCTTGCTCCTCCTAAGTGGAATTTTCCTTCCACATTCTAGAGTGTCTCTGATTAAATTTACCTTAGCCTAGCATCATGATGTGCTCACATGCATAGTCTGAAGTTCCTGCCCATTAGCTGACCTACTCTTGCTCTCCAGCAACCAGTAGCTAGGCTCATGGTGGAGAAAACATGGGAGAAGAAATGAGAGTAGCCTCTCAGAATCTTATTATCCCCTGGGGATTTATTAATGTATATAAATATCTGAGGGGTGCAGCTAAGAACAGTCAGACTTCCATATCTTTTGCTTTGTGTATTTATGCCAATACTTTGCAGTGGTTCAGAAGCAATGGTTTACTTCCAAATTTGACAGCGAGTAGTCCTAGATCCTCATTCAGGGACCTAAACTCCAGAGGAGCAAGATTTGTTGAAGTGCTTCTAACCTGCAGTGCTCAGCTGGAGATCTCACTGGAGCTCCTGGGAGCTGGATCAAGTCCTAAGACAGTCACATGTTGGTTAGAAAAAAGAAGAAGCTCTTCTCTGCTGTTTATTAATCACTGGGGATTTCTTTACCAAGCTCATACTTTTGCAAATTCTGGTCAGCATAAGATACCTTTTTCCTACTGAAATGAGCTAGCTGCATCTCACTGAGAAACACCACTCAGGTTCACAGGTGCAGAAAAACATCAAGATGATATCCAAACTCAACGTTTTAATATTTTGCATTATTTTTTTTTCTTTCTTCTTTTTTTTTTTTTTTATGCTTGTTCGGAAGCTTGTTTTTGTACATGGATAACTTTGGAGCCTGATTCATCTCCTAAAAGCACATCAGATGCTAATGCCTTGAGGGACTTGACAACATACATCAGAGAGCTTCAAGATCCTTCTAACTCCTTTTCTTGAGGCAATATTTATTATTTTAAGATGTTGCCCATGCATAGAAGTGACCCCAGTTTTAACTTGCCTGCGAGAAACAGACTAAGTAGGACGTTTTGTTTTTGAGCCAGCATAAGGTTTTTGTTGCTTTTATATCTGGCAATTCTTTCTTCTTCCTGTTTTGCTGCGGCAGATTTTTAATGGTTTCTCTAGGAATATCTTTTCAGCCTGGCAGCCAGTCAAGATATCTTCCCAACCAACCACTGAGAGGTCCCACTGTTTATCTTTTGACATTCATATTACACAGAAGTGAGATTAAGAATCAGGAGGCAAAGGGAGCTGACCTCCCACCCAGTGCAAATTCAAAAGCAATGATGATGAGAGGCAGTTCTCTTGGCACTTTTTAATTATTTTTTTTAAATGCATCACTCTTATATGCATGAAATGAAAGTTCTGTGTGTGCTTTTATAGAAAATGCAAGGAAATTACCTAGCTAGGGAATGGGAGATGTGACACTCGGCACAATGCTGCCCAGGCTGTAAAGCAAACCACCCTCTGGATCATCTGAGCTGGGGAGAATTAGTGGGAAGAGCTTGTCTGCTCTGTGCGCGGCACAGGCAGAGTAGCCCAGACTTCTTACAGAAACCTAAAAGTAGTTTTGCTGGCGTATGGGCAGTTTCTTAATGAACCCATCCATAACACTCCCTAGGGTAGAGAGCCAGGAGAAAACAGATCACAGAAACACAGGCTCGGGGCACCATATCTCTGCTATTTTTTTGTCTTCTACAAATAAACTTCATGCCTGTGTTCCTAGGCATGACATCTCTTTAGAATGAATATTTAACTAAACATTTGGCTTCAGTGAGTCCAAGTCAAAACTTTGAGTGGCCCAGGTTTCCTTTGAACCAACAGAGTCTTTTCAACACAATCTTACAGGAGCTCTTGGCAAAAGCGTGTCTAGGCAGCTTCAACACATAGGGTGCTGGTGAGGGCAAAGGGTGTGAGGAGGAGGGCACTGATAAAAGAAATCAGTAATCAGCTTTGGAGTTGGCATGGAGTTAACAACGTGATTTTGGGTTCTCTAACTATGGGACCTTGTTTGCAGATCAGCATCTGTTTGTGAGAGATGGCATCTGCCTCACTAGGCAGAGCAAAGCTATTATCCCCACAGGATGGCTAACCTCATAAAGAGGGCTTTAAACTGGGAATGATGGTGGAGGGAGGGAGCGATCAGCAGTCACGGAATCATAGAATCAACAATTCTGGCTGGAAGAGACCTTCAAGATCATTGAGTCCAACCTATCAACAGCACTAAACCGTGTCCTTCAATGCAACATCTACCCGTCTCTTAAACACCTCCAGGGATGGTAACACAACCTCCTCCCTGGGCAGCCTGTTCCAATGGCTGACAACCCTTTCAGTAAAGAAATTCTTCCTGATATCCGACCTTTATCTCCGCAGGCACAACTTAAGGCCATTTCCCCTTATCCTATGCATAATGTACAGAATTGCGGAATAAAGGACATGGGGTGGGGTAGCAAGAAGGGTTCATAAAGACATCAAAATGGGACCTGGGCTGGGCCACCTCTAGCACTTGCATGCAGGCAGCAAGCTGCCTACAAGGCACTGTTGTGGACACATACCCCAAATCCTCTCCAGGAGCTCAACTTACTGGTTCAAGAGCCTGTACACTAATACTCACAGTATGGGGAATAAGCATGAAGAGTTAGAGATCTGTGTACAGTTGCAGGGCTATGATTCTGTTGGGATGATGGAGACATGGTATGGCTCCCGGTGACTGGATGTTGCATTAGAAGGATAGAGGCTCTTTAGGAAGGGCAGAATAGGAAGGTGAGGAGGAGGAGGAGTTGCCCTTTATGTAAGAGAGCAGTTGAAATGTGTGGAGCTCTGCCCGAGGGTGGCTTATGTGTTAGGATTAAAAAGAGGACAGGCAAAGGGGCATTGCACTTGGTGTCTGCTCTAGGCGATCTGATCAGGAGCGGGTGGATGATATCCGCTACAGACAGACAGAATCAGCCTCATGTTCATGGCTCTTGACTTCATGGGGAACTTCAACCACCTCAATATCTGTTGGAGGGACAACTCAAGAGGACGTAAACAATCTAGGAGTTTCTAGGAGAGCATTGATAATTACTTTGAGGATTTGATGCACAAATGACAGTATCTCTATGTGGCTAGAGGAGGGCCACGTCCCATGATAAACTTTAATCTCACTGTAGTGGAAGAGTTCTTCAGTGAAAAGCATCCAGGGCATGAATTAAGGACTTGGCACTGTGAGAAGTAAATTACTTTGGGGTTGATCGTGAGAACGACAGTCACTTATTTCTATGCTCGTAGATGGCCACTCAACTGAGCTACAAATGCCTCAGCAGCTTGAAATATTCCCAGTTTTCACACTGAATGTTCTGATTTTATATGTGCAAGCTTGTCTTTCCATTTGCCATGCTAGGATCAATAGATATAGTTACATGAAACCAATTTTGTAACTGGTGATGGGGAGAAGAGAATTCTTAAATCCCCAGTTCCGCCAAAGAAAGTGTCAGGAATGCAACTGCCGGGGTTTGTATTAGTACCTCATGAAGGCAAACATGTATTTGTCCACCTCTGTCAGCTTCTCTTTGTGTTGTAAAGGAGAATAAAGATGACCTGAATAATATGGTAATTGCATTCTTTTTTGCCCAAGGCAAAAAAGAAAATGCTGTTCTGTTTTTGTTTTAGAAGAGCTATTCTTCCATCCTACCTGTGTATGTAACTTTACTAGTTATGCCAAAATAACATGCAATACCTACATCCCTTACCTAAGCTGCTCTAATTCAGCTTTCACCACTTATATCAGTTTGTAGCTCCGTCATCTTTCTCAAAACCACAAGGAAAGAGCCACATTGTTCTGCAAACTTTTTACAGTTTTAGAAGACTCCAGTTTCTTCCTCTGTTGGAAAGTTTTAGAACCAACCTTCTGCTGGTGTATCTGCAGCTTCCTCAACACCTTAAAACAGGAAAAAATCCCAAGATCACATACCATCCACCTATTTTGAGATTACAGAAACAGAAACAAAGCAAGTAATTTACCCTCTACCTCTTTGTCCAAAACAAAGGTATACAAATCTATATTTGCACAGCAAAATTCCACTTGCTAGAAGACCCCACTGCAGCACTCAAAAGACTTCATCAGACTTTCTTCTTCTTCCACTACTTCTCCATGGCCCAGAAAGCCAATCGTGCCCTGAGCTGCATCAAGAGGTGCACGGCCAGCAGGTCAAGGGAGGTGATTCTCCCCCTCTACTCCACTCTCGTGAGACCCACCTGGAGTGCTGCGTCCAGTTCTGGAGCCACAGCACAAGAGAGATCTGGACGTGCTGGAGCTTGTCCAGAGAAGGGCCACGAGGATGCTCAGAGGGCTGGAGCACTTCTCCTGTGAAGACAGACTGAGAGAGTTGGGGCTCTTCAGTCTGCAGAAAAGAAGGCTCCAAGGAGAACTTATTGTGGCTGCCAGTGTCTCAAGGGGGCTACAAGAAAGCTG